GGGGGGGGGGTTGCTTGGCCTTGCAAAGCCCAAACAAGGAAACATTCTTTATTTGTTTTTTCCGTTAGTGGTTTTGACAAGAATTATAAGTCGGTTGATTTTAATCCATTATAGCAGTCGAATTCATCATCCAATTATTTTCAAAGAAGTCAATTTATTTGCCCTAAATTAGGAGGAAACTCTACTTCTCAATTGAGTTTTTAGGACGTTTTCGTTGGAACTCTTAGCAAAGAAAATTCTACTAGTAGTATAATGGAACTAGAAAATAGGCTTGAACTTCAAGAGAAAGCTTGTAAGACAAAACAATAGAATTCTTAAAACCCAATAATGAGAAAGTTGTAACGAATTGAATTACTAGTAATAGATTTGAAAGGAGGGAATAACAAGAGTTGATCTTTGTGTGTTGGATATATAATGGTCATTTATATGTACAAGATGAAAACCTATTTATAGCTAAGAAGGCCAAATTGAAGTCGGGGGCTGAATAGATAAATTCTCTTCCCACGTAACGCTAAGGCAATTCAATAAGATGTTCTAGGGCATATTATTATAATAATAATGTTCGCATTTGACCAGGCTTTTTGGACGTTCCATGATTAAACCGACTAGCGGCACTTTCGAGATGCCACCTTGTTTATAAATATAAAAAAAGTCTTTTCAATTCCATTTGACTCGGGGCGTCAGGGACCCTCCAACAGAAACCTCGTCTTTTTTGTCGTCGATAAGTTCTCCATCAGTGCCCTACTATTCATAAGAAATACTAATTGTTGAGAGACTGATTTATGAAGGCCCGGTGAGGCCTCAACCGACAGATATTTTGAGTCTTATATTGCTACTTTTTTTGGTGAACAAAGCTACAAAAACATTTTTTTTTTGTGGATTCTTATTCTTAACACAAGCTTGCGTCTATAAGTAAACATGTTAGGGTTGATGCCTTCAAGTAGATTGCATTTGATTTGATTCCAACATAATCTCGTTGGAATTATACTTTACCCTTTTAAAGTACTAGGTTTAAATAGTGGTCTTCTTTAATCTTTGTCTTTCTGAACATCTAAGCTCCATCAACCTGAGTCCATGGCGTAACTATACAATGAAAGATGAAAAGAATTCGATGCAGAAATATTTCGGGAGGTTTTATTGCCAATTACAAATTTTTTTCAATTTTCACACGAGTTTAATAAAATATAAAACCAAAGATGAGTAAATTGTATTCATATACGATCATATCTTCTAAATACCTCAAGGTGTCCAATTAGATAAATTTTTCAATTTGTGAATTAAATTGCCATAATTATACTTGGAACCTTGTTCACGTCAAGACCCAAGTTGTCCATAAATAACCAAAGCCCAATTAGTCAATTTGAATGGGAGCTTTGACGTAATTAGTAAAGTTGATATCATATAATTAGGGGGTCACAGATTCGAGCCGTGAAAACGACCTCATGCAGAAATGCAAGATAAGATTACATACAATAGACCCTTGTGGTCCAGCCCTTTCCCGCATATAGCAAAAACTTAGTGCACTGGGCTGCTCTGCTCCCGATTAGCCAGTTAGGGACAAGTCACTACATTTATCACAAATTGGCTGTAGACGACATTCTGCATCAGAAAACGAACATCACTCATCTAATTCCTGTAATATGGAAAAGCATATTTGAAATTTATGGCGTACAAAATCAACACAGCTATATATGATTCAAAGATACAATTAATAATGCAACAATTCCATTTAATTACATGGAATACAAGCAGAAATACATAATGGCCAATCAAGCAGGGCCATTCAAATGTTATGGTAACAACTTATGAATACATATTATTGTCCTTGCCCAATAATACTTAAGAGTTTCTAAATACAATTTGCAACAAACGAAAAGAAAATGCAATATACTATTATTTTATTTCGTTGAAGCAAAGATGGAGCAGCTGCCTTGATTTATCAAATTTACAGCATCCACCCTGGAATAAATCCATTCATATTATGAGCTGATGCTCCTCCATTCACCTCATCCGTGCCCACATGATTGTATCTGTATAAAATAACCAGAATAATAATAAATGTAATTACCATCAAGAATGAATACTTAATTTCATGAAACTGTGTATACTGCTAGTATTGGTCCATAAAGGTTGAAATTATTTACTACCCTAGTCTATAGTATATGTCCTCTAATGTTTTTGCACATAGTTTAAGAAAAGTCATGTAATAGCCTTAATTACGAGTATATGTCTAAACTACTCTTCTTCGGTCGTTCCACACCAAATCCATCGTTTCAGTATAACATATATATTTTGAAGAAAATCGGACATAAAAAGTATACTTTTTATCATTACGGAACAACGGATTTAACGACACGTATAATAAAATTTAAGTAACAATCAAAAAGTAACAAACTGGCTCTTGTTATTCAAAAACAAGAAATATTTTGAAGCAAATTCAGATTGTACAACAACAATAACTCAGTAATAATCCCACTAGTGGGGTCTGAGCAGGGTAGAGTGTACGCAGACCTTACCCCTACCCATGAGGGTAGAGAGGTTGTTTCCGAAAGACCCTTGGCTCAAAAACAAAAGATATGTAACAACAACAAAAAATATCGGAGATTAATAGTTACCCAAATTGAGGAGAAGAAGTCAATCCAAGAGGCTGAAAGAAACCCTCAGTTTGAGGGAGACGGTTGAGTTGCATTGCTTGAGCTCCATCTTCCCAACACAATCGAAGAGGAATTCCAGCTGCACTTTCTTCCAGCTGACAAACGTACACCATAAAATTAAGCACAACATGCATGACTTCAAAACACTTAGAAAAAAGAAAAAGAGACAGAGATTTGATCTGATCGATTAGTTATCTCTTTTTACCTTTCTCCGGAGATGTTTATTAGATTCTGCCAGCATTTGCTCCTGCCAAATTTATAGCTTACAAATAGGTTAATAACTCTCTCTTCCTTTAATCTAGGGATGTACATAAACCGGATTGGTTCGGGTTTAACAATTATCAAACTAAATCAATTGTGTCAGGTTATTAAATCTAAAGACCAAACCAAACCAATAAAATTCAGGTTTTTCACTCTTCGGTTTTCTCGAATTTTCGGGTTATTCAGGTTTTTTCGGGGTTTTTTTTTTCTGGTAAAATCTTCGTAGAACAAATTTATAAATTGTGCTCAAAATATTTCTTTAATCCTAGTAAGATACAACTATATAAAGTATTTTTCAAGAAAATAATACAAAATATGAGATGTGTCATGACATATTCCTAAAATATTTAACAATAAGAACAATAAAATTATGTAATATAAATATTCCTAATTAAAAAGCCACAAAAAAAAAATAAACATAATCAAAAAGTACTAAGTCATGATAAAAAAAGTAGACTAATAAGGGAATATTAATTACATGACTAAACGTTAAAGAAAAAATAAAAATAGGTTATGCATTTTTATCTAAATTATTTCAAAACAGAATATAGATATTCAATACATTCCAGTTCATAGTATTGAATTGAATGTCTTTTGTTAGCATTAGTATTGATTTGATTTTGGTTTAAGCTTTTGTTAGCATTATTTAGTTTACTAATGTTAATGGCTATAAAACTTATTGGAACATTCAAAAGTTCTAAGTCCAACCTTGAAATAATACCTTAAAAGATAAATTTATGAAATTTTTTAAGAAATATTTATAAATTACATAAAAAATAAGTATATTTATATATTAAATATATCTAAAAAATTTATATATGTAATGTCGGGTTGGTTTTGTTTCGGTTTGACTTTCTTTAATTAAAACCAAACCAAACCAATTATGGTCGGGTTTTTTTTTTCTAACACCAAACCAAATCAAACCAAACTATAGTCGAGTTTCTTTTTCTTGGTTTGACTTGGATTATCGGGTTGATGCGGTTTCTCGGTTTCCTTTGTACACCCCTACTTTAATCAATAGGAAATTTAAGGATTAAAAGTTATAATCATAATGATTACCCTTTGTTGAAGGTCTGCAAGCTGATCCAGCATGAAGTGTGTCTGCAAAGGGCAAAAACAAAGAATATTGTTGGAGAAAACCTCTATTAATTGAAATCTGTTTTCTTTTCAGTAGAATTGTTTACTTATGATGTGAGACATCTTGCAAACAATCTTAAGTCCAAAATCCTTATAATGTATCAATCAAAATATTCGCAGTATAGACTTTTGCAGAAGTAACACAATTTTTGGTTGGTTATAAAACAAAAACTAATCATTCCACACGTTATGCAAAAACCTGTATTAGTTTATGTGGGATAAAATGTTGAATAAGAAAATTTGTTTTAGCAATACAAGGATAAAAGATATCAAAGATAAAAGAGCTTTTAAAGTAATTTTTTTTTGATAAGTACCAAGTAATAATTGATCTTACATGGTCATTTTTTGTGCAATAATTAATTCTTAATTATTTATTTCATAAAAAATATTTGGTTACACATTAGGGATCTATAACCAAATGAACCTTGAGTATTGAAAGGAAAACAAACTAGTTTAAATCTACATATAATGTTTAAGATGGATGCGTAACTCAACAAGAGAAGCAACCTTATATGCTACTGTAAAAGCTTTTATTATTATAATAGCTTTTCTTTTCCCCTCCTTAATTTAGTTTGGTCCTCCCACACCCACAATAATTGTTAGAAAAATGCTTGAAAGAGAACTGGCCCGAAAAATAATTTATCAGACAGAACCTATGGAGGCAGTAATCAAGGCATTACAGTATTAAAAAAAAGGGTATTAGAATCATTCATATGAGATCAAATTCATTCTCAAGACAAAGGTAAGGTCTGTGTCCATACTACCCTCCTAGGATTCAGCCGAATCCAGTAGCTTTGATCAAAATCTTATATTAATTTTAAGAAATCTATTAAACAATTACAAATTATTAATTTAGAACACAGTAGCTTAAAAGAACTAGAATACCGAACCAATAAGCTTAAGATCTCTTGGCTTCGATTGGCTCTGACCTTCCCCAGTTCTTGTCTGTGGGATTATGCTGGAATTTTTGTTGTTGTGTATAAGATCAAAGTAATTTACCTTCCTTGACCTGATTTGCTTTAAGGACGCTTCTAATTGATTCTCAAGCTGCTCGAGGTCCTTGGTACTTAATGTCCCCAAATCTTCCCCAAGAAGGTTTCTGTGTAATAATTTGAGTTCATAAAAGGTAACAAATCAATGGGCATACAGAAAGCATTATATAATTAAGATTTAAGAACTTACCTCTGAGATCGTTGTAGGAGCTCAACTCTAGCTTTTAGCCTCAAATACTCATGGTAGTTGTTCTGTCACAAAATTAAGCAATTTTAACTTTTCCATGATTTCACAAAATTAAGGAGTTTATTAAATTATACTTGAAAAATATAACTAATCCAACCTGCAAAAAAAGTGTTTTCTTTTGTGTAGTATACTACATGAAAAGAGTCCAATTATACCAAGGGCTTGAAGTTGAGATTATAGATTGTGTAGTAACTCAAGAAAACGATAACGAATATGCGATGTGAAATGCTCATCATATATAAAATGCTGGAAAAAATCACATTCGAACTTTATTTTCATAACTAGGTCTATTTGCATGATAAATTAAGTGCCCTTGGACTGTACGATTTGATGTTCCTTATTTTAAGGCCAAATTGTGCCCTTGGACTTTAGGCTCCCTATTTAAAAATAATCAAGATTATTGCTTCCAAATATAACCAATGTTAAGTTCTACAAAGTAGAACCAAGTTTCAACCAAAGAAAACTGTAAAAACTCAAAGCCTTTTCTTTCCTATAAAGATAGCTATCATCTTATAAAATAACTTTAATTTGTTTTCCCGTAAAGAATCACTTATGGGATAATATAATTGCAGCTGTGATAATGAAAAGAGTGCATGAATACTTACCTGAGTATCAGTAGCTGATTGGCTGGCTTCCAAAGTAGCATAGCTGCAACGTTGATACTTTTCAATTGTTTTCATCATGCTACAAGAATGAAAAATGATATATTTAGCTAGCGTTTGAACATAGATTTGAATGAAACTTGAGAAAAGAGTTTTTCAAGTTGTATTGAAAAATAATTTTTGGAAGTTAAGTTGTGTTTGGACATGGATTTTATTTGAAATAAAAGTTAAAATTTTGTGAGTAGAAGAAAAAATTTTCACCCAGAAACGTACCTTAACCAGTTTTTGGGAAGTTGAATTTTTTTTTTTCAATACCTAATAACATTCCATGAATAAACAATGTTTTCGAAAAAAAATAGAAAAAAATTGTAGACAAAATCTATGGCCAAGCTGGAGCTTAATAATTTCCGGTGACTATCTCCTCTTATTACATAGAAATTCTTTCTAACATTTTTTGCATAAGAGATCTACTCTTCAGATTAAAAAGCAATATTTGTTCTAAATTATTCTCTATACTCATGTAATATCAAAGTTCTCTGCAGATTGCGAATTTTAACAAACAGAAAGAGGTTCTTCCTATCAATTAGCAAACAGAAGTCATTGCTCAAAAGAATTTCTCGTTTTAAATATATAGTGAAATAAAAGAAATGACTCGTGCATGTTCTTCAAGCAATTAATTCTTCAATTTACCATCCATGGACATGCACAAAGTTTTTTCTTGTTTATAAATATGATTTGGTCAAATAAGAATAGGTGTTCTTGGTAGATCATCGGTAAATTCAAACTTGAAGACATCTAGGCTAAAACAAGCTTAACGCCTTAAACTAATAAAGGGCCTAAATCAATTATGTAACATGTCTGGATTAACTCATGTTATTTAAATTTATTGGCAAATATAAAAAATATAAGTGAAAATGTATCTATTTAATAATCAAAATATATATTGCTTAACATGGTTCAAGCACTCAAATTACCAAAATATATAGACTCCTGGTCACAAAAATTGACAATTATCCGGTGGAAATATCCCTTCAACTTTTAAATAATGGAGTACATTTCTTATAATCATTATTAATGATCTTTTTACAATGGGATTTAAAGCTTTGGCAGCTTCGAAACTAACATAAGCAGTCTTAGCTCCGTCTTGGGAATCAAAGAACAAAAGTAGCAGTATTTGGACTGTCAAACATGACACCTCTGCAAATCAAATCTTAACAGTGAAAAATTGTTGTAACGTGGAAAATTACTGATTAGGTTTTCAGAATTTTTGGTAGTTTCTTTAACGAAAGGTGTTTAGTGCTCAATAGTTTCATTCAAAAGATGATTTTTTTTAATTAGAAATCAAACTCATAAAAATCTATCTGCAAGCCAAGAATGACTCTACAGGAAAAAGGAAATAAAATTTCAAAAACAGTCAGATATAAAAATTTATATACTAGCAAAGACTGTCCAAAAAATTAAAACGAAAAACATCAATATTTACATATGCAAAAAAGTTTAAAAAACAAATACTACAAGATGATGATAACACAAAGAAGTAGATCCTCCAAAGAACGAAAGAAGAATTGTAAAATAGTTGATATCCCAAATGAAAAATCAATTCTTGAGTATAGAGAGAGAATTCGATCATATATATATATGTGGTAAAATTACGGCATATTAAGACAAATCAGATCTTGCATAAAAATTGAAGTGAGAGAGAATGGAACTCATTAAACTAAAGTTGATGAAGTAATTGAAAACCAGAAATTTGCAATTCTTGTTTTGAACTTCCACATATAANGTGAGAGAGGGAATGGAACTCTTTAAATCAAATTTAATGAAGTAAGAATATGAAGTCATTAAAGACCAGAAATTTGCAATTCTTTTTTTGTCAACTTCCACATATAAGGGTTTCGGAAAAACAGACCCTAGAAAACATAGAGAAGTAGCCAAAAAAAACTATAAAAAAAGAGAGGTTATTATATATATAAACTGAAAAGGATTTAGAAGGAAGAAGTGGTTATTTTTGTAATACCTTGAAGTGCTGCAGAACTCATAGAGTTTACCACGATTAGAAAATATGATGAGAGCAACCTCAGCATCGCACAGAACAGAAAGTTCATAGGCTTTCTTGAGAAGTCCATTTCTTCTCTTAGCAAAAGTAACTTGCCTGTTTATTTTGTTCTCTATTCTCTTCAGTCTTTTCTCTTTCTTTCTATCTTTGTAATTTGCCTGAGAGATGATATAAGGGATTATTCCACTCTTGGTTAGCAGCTGGAACTACTTTTAGTAGTGCAAAGAATAAAAAAGGGTACCAAATTAAATGAAATGAGGGAAATGAAAGGGGGAGAGAAGATGAAAAAAATGGAAACCCTGGGGCTTCTGTATCTTTGGTCCCTTACCTATA